TCATTCATAAGATACCCAATGACCCAAGAATTGTTGTCATCATTGGTTCATACTTCCATCAAAAAACAGATACCATTTGATTTAGAACAACAAAAAAAAAGAATTACATGAAAATATATTAGAGGAATTTGTTATGAAATCAAGGCATGGTAGGTTTGTCTGGCTCACTAGGTTTGACTAGGTCTGCTCTATTTTTGTATTGAGCCCTTTTTTACTTAGTTGATTACTCGTATCGGTTTTTTTTCTTTACATGTATGCTGTACGATTATTTTCGACAGACGTTCATGTTTCTAGCTCTTATTTTTAAAACCGTTTTTTCCTTCGAAATTGATTTGATCATTAGCAAATCAAGAAACCGAAAAATTTTCCGATACAATATAGTTACCTATATATATATATATATATATATATATATATATATATATATATATATATATATATTCCATCTCTTCAAATATATATATATTACATCTCTTCAGGATAAATATTTGACATTCATGATAATAAATATTTGACATATATATATATATATATATATATATATATATATATATATATATATATATATATATATATATATATATATATATATATATATATATATATATATTATATATATATATATATATATATATATATATATATATATATATATATATATATATATATATATATGTATTTGTAATAAAAAGAAGAAAAAGCTTAACGATCCATTTATATTATGTTTGCGAATATGTTTTATATATCCATCTTATATATATATATATATATATATATATATATATATATATATATATATATATATGTATGTATATATATATATATATATTTATACTGTAAATTGTAAAAGTATTTGTGCCTTTTCGTGTAATTATATTGCTGACTGACAATAAAAATGCCTTTCATGATTTTATAATAGAAATAAATTGAAAATTTAAGAAAAGGATACTTTGTATTTTCTAACAGTCCCCATCAAACTAAGTAATTATAATTATTTTAGCTCACCGTATTTTTTTAATTAAATGTAAATGAACTGTAGATCATATAAGATAGCCAACATATTAAAAATACTGAAATCAACCACTGAAAATCTGTTGCACAAATTAAACAGAAGTTTAATGTAAAATATCAGGAGAAAGAAATGGACGAGATAAATTTCAATTTATTTGGAAAAAATTCTGTAGGAAAATAATCATAATGCCGAGTAATCTCAATACACGTACGTAGACATTCTTCAACTGGATTTAAATTAAATTTTAATCAAATTATATGGTAATTAATTTTTTCAAGTGAATATGGTATCCTAAATTGTATGTGTACTACATTTGAAGTAATCCAGTTTAAGGCATGGCACGTGGAACTAGAACAAACAACGCTTTTATCCACTGGGCCATGTGGTCGAAATTCCAACGTATTTCACCTGAAGAAGGCCGGAGTGTAAAACGGCCGAAACGTCGTGAATATGACAATAGAGATGAGGACAATAGCCCGAACAATTTAAATAGTGCAAATAGATATATTCAAATTAGAAATTAGTAATTATACTCTTGTGGAACTGGTTATTTTCAACACCCCCCCCGCCCTGTTCAATTTTAATTTTGTGTAATTAGAATTCCTCTTTTAATCGCCTTCCACCTTTCCCTCCTCATTTACTTTATTGAGTGTGTCTTCATTTGTATTCCCAATCGTCAACGAATACCTTTGAAAAAGTGTTGGCCGAAAGGTACCTAAGGTATGACGTCTGTGTTGTTGAAAGCTAAATTAGTAATCCTGAAAATGACAAGAAAAAGCTAAGGAATTTCTTTCACATTTTTGTCAGACTTCGATACAAAATGGAAATGTCAGACGATTACACCATAAAACGGCTTTTACCAACCTGCGTGAGAAAAGTCTTTGAAAAAGAGAAACGGTGTAACAGTGACTGAAACATCGTAACTGCTGAATTGGATTTCTAATCGAAACTTTGTGCCTAGTATCATCATTATTTGATACGATATTCCTTTACAGGTGAGTCTACTGTTTCAGTCTTCTGATTATTACAATCGACATTCTTATGGTTACTGAGGTTTACGCATTTTGTAGTTCTCTTCAAACTATCACGAAAATGGCTATGAAAAATGTCTTCGTTAGGACTTCTTTATCTGTTTTTGAGTAGATTTTGTATTTAATTTATAATCAATTCTGGCAGCTGAATGGAAGTGGAATCAAATTTACGAATTTAATAGAAACTCAGAATATTTTTTTTAAATACCGTGAAGTGTAAGAATCTGAAGCGCAGACGATTTTATAAAAAAAAATAAAATATGGATGACGTTGGAGTAGAAGATTTCTCTCACGAGAACCAGAGATTTACCATAATTCTGCCACGAGATTCAACGATTACGAACAAGACAAAGTGAGCTGAAGAATTTCCATAATGTTTTTAATACATTTTTAAGAATCACTTAGTTAATACTTAGCCAAACTTCTATGACTTTTGCATACGGCAGAAGTGACTCTTGCAAGTACAGAAAGAAGTTTTAGCAAACTAAAATTAATAATGAAATTGTCTGCGATTGACAATAAGAGACGACGTGTCATCGAGGTTAGCATTGTTTTTTAGTGAAACTTCAATAGACTTGATTGTTTGATTTTGATGAATCCATTCGATCTTGTTCAGTGTTAAAAAAAATAATCCATGTAAAATGCGTTTCTATTTTTCTGTATATAAAAAGATCCTGGTAGGACATCTCGAGGTGGTGCAATGGTTAGAAAGCTTGTCTCGCTAGAACATTTACGACTGGTGCCCCCTATTTTCGGCCTTGTGCCACATATAAGCTACGCTTGGAAAATCACTTTGGGCACCTCGAGGCGGTGTAATGGTTAGCAAGCTTATCTCGCTAGAACAATTACCACTGAGTAGTGAGTTCGATCCTTACTGGGAAGAATTTACATTCAACCTTGTTTTTTCGAAGCTACGTTTAGAAAATCACTATAAAAAGATCCTGGGGGTGTAATTTATTTTGGGGACGGCGATTAGGCTAAGTTTTTTGTTTTTTGTTCACGGGTTTCGATTCTCTCAGGCATTAACCATATATATATATATATATATATATATATATATATATATATATATATATATATATATATATATATATATATATATATATATATAAAATATAACAATCAAGCGTTAAAAGTAAAAGCAGATTTTTTCTGACGAAACACACTTAAAGTATGCCTGAAATTGTGAAGTCTTTCATTTTCTCTTTCTCTCTCTTTCTCATATATATATATATATATATATATATATATATATCCGATATATAAATAAAATAGTGTTCGATGTAAAACAACAGAGCTATAAATTATATATTAATAATAAATGTACATTTTTTCTAACCGGTAAAAATGAGAAAAATGAATATTTATTATTATTAAATTATATATATATATATATATATATATATATATATATATATATATATATATATATATATACAAATATGGCGTTTGAAATTGTACTAAAGTAATTAGTAATTAAATTAAGGCCATAAATTTAAACGATAGATAGACCTTGTTTGATTTAAATAAAACTTGTTTAAATGAATATATATATATATATATATATATATATATATATATATATATATATATAGAGAGAGAGAGAGAGAGAGAGTGAGAGAATGAATATGAAAATGTTTTTGGAATTAATTTTTTTTTTTCAATATTTACTTTGTAGTTTCGTGACTAGATAAGTATTACCACTTGTCAGAACAAAGTTAAACTCTGTTTTGACCAGTGCTTATTTCTACATCGGTGTAACCTATTATAGGTATAGCTTTGTTCCGACGAGTGGTTATACCTATGTGGCTGCGAAACTCCGAAGTAAACATGATTTTAGTGAAAAATCCTTCTTTTATATTAATTCTATTAACACCCTGTCTTCGAAATTGAGCACTCTACTACAAATCCTGCTCACCTTAAATACCTCCTTATCAGCAAACCACTGAGAAACCCTCTATTTATCTTCAAAATTATGTATAGGGATTTTCCAAGAGTAGCTTCGATGTGGTACATGGCCAAAAGTATGGGGCACCCAGTGAGGATCGAACTCACTAACTCAGTCGTAATTGTTCTAGCGAGATGAGCTTGATAACCATTACACCGGCTCGGGGTGCCGAAGTATTGACTTTCTAAGCGTAACATATATGTGGCACATGCCGAATGTAATGGGGCACAGAGTGAGGATCGAACTCACTACTCACTCAGTCGTAATTGTTCTAGCGAGACAAGAGACAAACACCCACTATATATATATATATATATATATATATATATATATATATATATATATATATATATATATATATATATATATATATATATATATATATATATATATATATATATATATATATATATATATATATACCATTATATATACATTATATATATATATATAATTTAAATAAATTATTAATCATTATAATATATATATATATATATATATATATATATATAATTTAAATGCATTATTAATCATATATATGAAGGTATATGATTAATAATGCATTTAAATTATATGTATATATATATATACATATAATTTAAATGCATTAAATCATATATAAAGCTACCTTCATATATATATATATATATAAAAGGTATATATATATATATATATATATATATATATATATGAAGGTAGCTTATATATGATTAATAATGCATTTAAATTATATGTATATATATAGATATATATAATTTAAATGTATTATCAATCATATATAATCTATCTTCATACTAATAGTTATTTAATTGTTTGCCTATACATACACAAATATATACATACATATATGTGTGTGTGTGTGCTTTTGTTGAAGCATATATATGAACGTAGTTCAAGTATTTCTCATCGCATGTCCTTTAAACATGAATGAAGTCCCAAGTTCAGGACGCCTTTTTGCAATTTTCTCGAGCACTTAAGACATAAAAACCTTGTCGAATCTTGCTCTCAGCTCACCCAGTCCGTCGTCTGGTGCTCTCTTTCTCTCTCTCTCTCTCTCGCTATCATTCTCTCCCTCTTTCCCTGTTTCTCTCTCTTTCCCTGTCTCTCTCTCTCTCTTTCCCTGTCTCTCTTACCAACCAACAGGCAACTTAGCCGTGTGGAAAAAAAAAACAAATATCTCGTCTTTGCTTGTACCTGTGGTAGCAGTCGTCAAACCTCGGTGAAAGTGGAATCTCGGCCGCCTCTCGAGAGATAA